AAAAGAGAAATTCAAGACTTAAAAACAGTCCTTATTAGCAGTGCAGAGGTACCACCTGAACTTGTATAAAATTTGGTTCTATGAAATTGCCTGTGTAGCAGAAAGAAAAAAGAATCCTAGAAAGTTAACACTGGACAGAACCTTAAGAGATCACCTACATCTCTCCCCGGTTTTTCCAAATGAGGAGACTGGAGCTTTGAGAGATGAAATAACTTGTAGAGTTATTTAGCTAATTAGTAGCAAGAGGCTGGGACTACACTCCCAGTCTCCTGCCCCAAAGACAGCTGTTCTTTCCCTGCCAAGTGCAGCAACATGTGTCTCTAGCAAAACGCATCAAAAAGTAGCCCCATCTTAAAGCATCAGGAATGAAAAACAAATTATTCAAACCCCTCCTCTTCTCTCTGGCAATTTTTTTTTTTTTTTTGCATTTCTCTATGTCCTAGTCTTTTTATCCCTCTCATGTTTTTTTCTATGAATCCCTCTCTCTCTCTTTGGGCTTTCAAATTGAATCATGTTTGCTTGATTTTCCTGATTTTTCTTCTCTAAGCTTTTTGTTTCCTGTCCAAAGGCAAACATTCATAAGCCAATAGAGACTCTTTCTTGGTGACCTTTGTGGGAAAAAAACACTCGATTTCTATATGCAAGATGCAGGACCTCCCTCCTAGCCTACCTAGTCAATTAAAATGAGTCTCGGGCCCCCCCTGAGGGTTTTTAACCATGTCTGTGTTTCTAGTACCTAGAACAGTGCCTGGCACATGGTAGGATATCAATAAATATTTATTGGATAAATTACATATGTTACTTGCATTCTTTTATCTGATTCAAATATTTCATACTTTTTTAAAAGAAGAAAAAAGCCTACTTTAATCATGGTGCCCTGTTGATCATTCTAGTTGAAAGTCATACTGCTTCCTCAATTCCGATTGCCCATAGAGCCTATTAAATCTTGCTGCATATTATAGTTACATATGTATGTCTTTCTTACTGATTATATGTTTATGAAGACAAGGGTTTCCCCTTTTTTATTCCCACTCACATTATGTAGCACAACACCTTGTACACTGTAGATACTCAATAAATATTGGTTGAGTACTTGAAGTCATAGAAGACAGGGGCTAACTACAAAGGACAGATTTTTACTATTCATATTTAGAGCTGAAAGAGCACTCAATCATCATCTACTGTTTGGGGGGTAAGAAAACTGAAGTCCAAAGAGGTGAAGTGATTTTCTCAAAGTCACATGATTAATTAGTAATGGTCTAAAAATTTAGAGTCAGTTCTTGAGTTTGCTGTCCTTAGCTCTTCACAATATATCACAATGAGTCTTATTTTCTGTTTCGTCTGTGTGGGTTCGTTGGCCTGGGAGCCACCAAATGGCAAGGACCAAATCTTTCACAGAGACAGTTAATCATGGCTTCTACATAAGTTTGTAGGACCTGTACAAATTCAACATAAAAATTCAGCAACTTAGGTTCTTCTCGAGCAAAAATTTGTTTGGCCATCCTTCTGCCACCAACTCTCTCACTGATCCCTCCCTCAGAAGCCTGGATACTAATGACCCTTTCTTTTCCTCCATCTACTGTTTTCTTTCTCAAGGGGACAGGTTTACTGATGGCTCAAAGACCTGCTGTCTTGGAGAACTGATTAAGCAAAAGAAAAGCAGAAAATCCATCAGTCAGTGCCCACCAGCCCCAGGAGCTTGACATTAACAATCACAACTAAAAAGAGAAATTCAAGACTTAAAAACAGTCCTTATTAGCAGTGCAGAGGTACCACCTGAACTTGTATAAAATTTGGTTCTATGAAATTGCCTGTGTAGCAGAAAGAAAAAAGAATCCTAGAAAGTTAACACTGGACAGAACCTTAAGAGATCACCTACATCTCTCCCCGGTTTTTCCAAATGAGGAGACTGGAGCTTTGAGAGATGAAATAACTTGTAGAGTTATTTAGCTAATTAGTAGCAAGAGGCTGGGACTACACTCCCAGTCTCCTGCCCCAAAGACAGCTGTTCTTTCCCTGCCAAGTGCAGCAACATGTGTCTCTAGCAAAACGCATCAAAAAGTAGCCCCATCTTAAAGCATCAGGAATGAAAAACAAATTATTCAAACCCCTCCTCTTCTCTCTGGCAATTTTTTTTTTTTTTTTGCATTTCTCTATGTCCTAGTCTTTTTATCCCTCTCATGTTTTTTTCTATGAATCCCTCTCTCTCTCTTTGGGCTTTCAAATTGAATCATGTTTGCTTGATTTTCCTGATTTTTCTTCTCTAAGCTTTTTGTTTCCTGTCCAAAGGCAAACATTCATAAGCCAATAGAGACTCTTTCTTGGTGACCTTTGTGGGAAAAAAACACTCGATTTCTATATGCAAGATGCAGGACCTCCCTCCTAGCCTACCTAGTCAATTAAAATGAGTCTCGGGCCCCCCCTGAGGGTTTTTAACCAATCCTAAGAAAGAAAAGATCAATTTCATTTGTTCGTCACCACTGCGCTGGAAGCTGCTAACCAGTCAGAATCTGCCACTAACAGTCATTAAAAAAACTGGCCAATCGGGCCAACCTTGTAACATGGTCTGGTAGGAAAAGAAAGGGATTGATTGGAAAGACAGTTCTGGCTCCACACCCTTTCCTTCCTGGACCCATTTTTCTTCAGTGAAGTTAAAAAAGGGCCCTTGCCCAATCCATCCCTTAGCTAGATGTTCTCTTGGATCATATTGTGTCTTCAAATTCAGCCCTCCCTCACATACCTCCAACCACTTTTTGTAGTCTTACTGTTCCCCTGCTAACTTAATTGCTGGCTTCAGACTTGATACAATTAGCCCCCAGGATTCTCAGCCCTTCCCAGAGACCTCCGCGCACCAACCTGTCAAAGAACTCGTTTCGCCTGATTTATGTAATTGAAAAAAGTTAAGTGACAGTTGAGACTTTCAGGAGAAAGCATTGCGAGCACTTTGCAATAAAATCTCTAGGGAGCAGTGCACAATTGAGTTGCAATGCTCCTAACGGTAATGATAGTTATTATTATTAATATTATATATTATTATTACTATTATTAGCATTTACTGAACTCTTGAGTTCCAAGCACCCTGCTAAAAGCTTCGGTACATTATCCCAATATTCGCTATGGGGTAAGCACAATTCTTCCCAATTTACATAGGATTAAATTGCTTTAGAGAGGTTAAACAAGCCTGTCCAAGGTCACACAGCGATTTGGGAAACCAGGTTTGTGGGAAACCAGGTTTGTCTGAATCCGGAGCCCTCCACTGAATGGGGCAAGGAAGAATTAAATATCGCAGACTGTAACAACTTCTGGGAGGAGTCAGCTTTAACTTCCTCACCGGCCCCTTCTCCAATCCTTTAGAATTGTTAGCGGTATCGGAGAGGATCCCAAATTGTCCCAACAGCTGCAACAACCGTTTGGTGGTGGCTGCTCCTAAGAACTGTGGACTTTTTGCCTCGGAAGATGTGAAGTTGAGAGCTAAGAGGAATTCAGTATGGTCTGGGGGTCGGGGTCGGGGTATCTGGGACTTAAGGTGATATCCTTGCTAGCCTTGTCTTCCTTTTCTCTGCACAGCATTTTACTTTGTGCCTGGCACAGCGTGGTACTTGACAAATACCTGTTGATTGATTCCCATGAGTTCCAGCTCGATTCCTCACCTAATCCCCCACCCCAGAAGTCAACAACTGTAACTGGACAGAGATTTGGGAATTTCAGGAGAACCGGTGAGAATCTTCATGGAACTGAAATCGTGGATTTAGGAAAGGCGGGAAGTCCCCCCACCCTTCTCTCCTTGCCTGCTTCTCCGATTTCTCCCCCATTCCTTCCCTCCCCTTTAGGAGCTCAGGGCTATAAAAATGCAGATGGAGGATCGGTGTGAAATAACGGGCCCATATAAATCCCTCTGCCGCCCGCCTGCAAGATGGATTGGCCGCATTGAAATTCCTCCGCGAGGATAATTAAACTCGGGGCCTCATCCGGGCAAAATTACATTCCTGTAATGGCGTCGCTCGGGGTCCCGGGAAATTGCTCCGTGGGCTTTCAGCGGCGGTTTTTATCGCTGGCCGGGGTGTGCCTGGCTGCGGCTCGCCTCTCCTCCGGGACCGTAAAGCTGCTGCCGTGATTTATCCTCCCCTTCTCCCAAATCCGATTAAATGGAGGAGCTCGGGGCCGGGGCGCCGCGGGGCCCGGGAGCCGGGAGGGGGCGGCGGGAAGGACGGGGCCAAGGAGGGAAGGACAAACGGCCCCTCAGAGGGTGGCGGATTTGGCTTTATTTACAGCCGCAGCTTTCTTTTTGTTTTTTATATTTTATGGGGGTTTGGTGAGCTTTCTCCGTCTTTCTCGTGCTGCGTTCAAGCACGATGCCTGGACGGCTGGGGTTTGACACGAGGGGACGTAGTAGGCCTTGCCGCCCTCCTTCCAGAGGAGCTGATGAGACTTTGAGAGACAAAGAAGAGATGAGGGCCTCGAAGTCCCCCTACTTCCTTCCGTGGGGAAAGGACGAGTGAAAGGTCACGAGGGAGAAGCTGAGGGGCTTCCATGAGAGCACCTCATGGGGGGACTGCCCATCTCCACTCGTGTGATGAAACCTGGGCAGAGGCACTGGCGTGCCTTGGGATCCCGCAGCCGCACTGCTGGTCACGGTGCCCGTTACTCCTTTACTGTTTCAGGACTCGGGATAGAAGGCTTAGGGTCCGGGCATTTGAGCCCCAGTCATCTTCAGCCCCTACCTTCTGGTTCACTGGTGTTGGGTTTCCTCATGGCTGATCATTGAAATAAGAAAAAAGGAGAGAAAAATAAAGGCGAAGGCACCAGAGGTAGCTGGGGCATTTCGTTTGACTGTTCGCCCATTGGTTTCCCGTCCATAAAGCCAGAGTCTTAGGGCAACAGAAGGCAGTAATCCCCATGACTTGATTTTCCTCCTCTACATTTTGGGAACTAAGCCCCAATCCCGATTGTAATGCTATTTAACACTGAATTTCTGGGTCGGTGTGGGTCGGGTTTTTTCCCCAACGTGACTGCGCATGGTCCGAAAGATCCCAAAGGCTGAGCTGACCATACCGCAGGGCCACGTTACAGATCAATTTACACTGCTAAATTGTCCTCATTTCTGCACACGGTCGGCTACGTCTGCAGTTTCTCCTCTTGAACACAAGGTGGAGCGGTGGATCGGGTTCCTCGACAGAGCTGGCAGGCGGCGCTGTGGCGCCTGGGCGGACCCTCAACATTGCAATCACTCTATCTTTGGCAGAGCGACTCGTTGGTCGTGTCCGCGCGTGCGCCGCGCCTTCTTTTCGTTATTCCCGCCCCCCCCATCCCCGTTCCTCTGTCTTCTCTGCACTGGGAGAAGGTAAGGCCTTGGGCCCACGCGCCGCGATGTGCCGCGCAGGCGCGCGGGGCACCCTACCTCGCGCGGATTTCTTGGAGGCGCATAACTTGCATGCTCCCACCCCGGTCTTCATGCCCTCCCTTGCTGCAGGTATCCCCACACCTTTAGGGCTGCCCCTTCTGCGTGCTGGTGACCTCCAACGGCGCGGGCCTGGCGCCATCTTGGAGGTCTGGGAAAGCTGGGCGCCTTGGAGCTGGAGAAAGTCAAATCCCAGAGTTCTCATTTTCACCTGTTCTTTCACCTGTTCTCAGCCCTTACAAACGCTCTTTTCTCACTCTGGCCGTTTCAGAGTTGTTACAGTCCCCAAGCGCTCCCCTCCTCTCTCTCTTCATCGTGACTCCTCCCTTATCCTGAAACTTTCAAACTTCGGCTCCAGACCCACAGGTGCCCCGAGCAATGGAGAGAGTGCATTCTCCAAAGCCACCAACCCCTCTAGTGAGCACCCCCCAATTTAAAAAGTAAACCGTGAACATGATAGAGTGACCAGAACAGAGAAAACACTCCCTTTCTTAAGGCTGTGGCGGAAAAGAAAGGCCGGTTTCTTTGGAACCATTGGTTGTCCCCCAGTACTGTTCTCTTCCATTCCGGTGAAGCTGACAAAACACAAGTGGTGGGCGAATAGGTTATCTATTAGAGGCAGCAGGCCCGAAAGGGGAGTGGAGCCAGCATGGGATAGTCCCCACCTGCCAGCTTTTCTATCAAGGGTTTATTATTAAGAGGCCCTAGACTGCCCTAGAGAGGAAAGGTTTAAGGAAGGGAATGGTTAAGTTCACAGCCCTGTAACTCTGTGACTCGTCTACACGGAGGAAGAAACCCGTGGTGATTTAGGTCCTCTGATTCTGGATAATGCTGTTGTCCCAGGTGTAGGCCAATGATTGCAGACTTTTCAAAGCTACGTGACCAATGGAGGGATCTACACTTGTAGCCTCCCTCAATTGCCGCCCTTTATTGTTGGTTTATTGCATGCCAGCACCACATTAAGCTCTTTACATATGTTATTTTCCTTTAATCCCTCTAGAAACCACATTTTATGAATGGTGATAATTGAGGTTTAATTGCTTTGGGAAAAACCCCTCCCTTTTTTTAAAGCTTTAAAGAAATTTTGTATTTTGACATAAGAAAACCTGACTAGTCTGGCAGCAAAATTGGGTTAGAGTTACATATGGGCAAAAATCAGTTCTAGACAAGAGTTGAAGACATCCATTAATCTAAAAGTAACCAAGATTCTGGATTCAGAAGTGTAACCTAGGAAAATCTGAGGAAGAGTCATTTAACAGGCCTAAGTAATCATGAGTGTTTCAACCTATTGTATATTATAAAGCATTAACTTAGATGTGAGAAGTGTTCAAGTCCTGGCTCTACCACTACTGTAGTTTAAAGACTGGTTTTAAGACCTTGCTTTCAGTGTGCAGAAGAATCATTTGGGAAACTTGTTTGAAATAAGGGTGTTTAGACCTTATCCCCAAAGGTCTCCCCACCAGGAAGGTCTAAGGTGGGACTGAAGAACATGCATTTTTAAAATATACCATCCCTACCCCTGGACAACTAGTTCAGGGCCTCTCACTTTTCTTAGAGAAACCCTGCCCGTAGGTCATTAACTCACCCACTCTTCTCTCAGGTAAGTTCAGTTCTGCCAATTTTGGTACCTACGGGGCTTCAGCATTGTTTTAGATCTTGGACATACAAAATTGAATGCCCCTTAGAGTGATGGTGAGAATGAATACTTAAGTAGTCGTGGCTAATTAGAGCAGGGGCAGAGTTCCTCTTCCTCATTGATTTGCCTCAACCTGTTAGGTAATTTAGGAAGTTTTAAAGTGTTTGGAGAAATCAGCTTCCAGGTAATTAAATGAGAAGGTCGTTGGAGACCCCTTCCAGTGTCTTGGCTTTAAACAGATATATTAGTCATATTTAAAGTCTTTAAAGGACAACTTTTTTGGTCCATGCAATGCAGTTTTGAGAAGAGTTTCTTTTGAATAGCAACTGAGGAAAATTAGGCAAAGGACACTGGAGAAATTCCTCTGACAACCCCAACTCATGAGGCTGTGGAAATGAATAACAGATCCTGAAGTTGGGACCAAGTGACTGCTTGTTCAAAACAGGGAAACTAACTTGATTTTAAGGAAATCTTGACTACAGGATTATAATTTTATTTCTGCTTATGACTTGAGGTCAGTCACTCTGCTCTCTGGTCCACTTAAACTTTTCAGGGCACTTTTTCTGCTAATAAGGCTGTCATTTAGTGAGCAAGGACAATTTTACAATGCTGCTTCTGTAATTCCAGCTCTCCTGCCACAGCCCCTCATCCCCTGAAAATGTACGCGTGCACCAAGTTTGTCTCTACCCCTTTCTTGGTGAGTACCTGCCTTTTCTGGGAGAGTTTTTAAGGAGAGACATCTTGTCTCTTCCTTGCCAGAACTTGTTGACAGCTGAACTGGGTGAAGGCCCTTTGCTTTGTTAGCCTGACAGAAAAGTGTACTTACCAAGTACCAGCTTTCCTTATCTGTTGGAGACCAGTTAATTCTTCTCATCCAATCATCTTAAGAAGAGTATAAATGAGAATCTAGACTAGGATCAGGTTATTTCTGTCCTGAAACTCTGTGTTCCTGTAAACTGGACCCAGCTGGAAATGGTGAACATGAAGTAGATTGCTTAACTTGGACTGAGTATGTGCTGTGTACAGGGTCTTGTCCTGAGGGTCAGAGAGCCATAGTTAGGAGTTCCCTCTGGGAGTGTAAATATCAGTGGGAAGCTAAAACACATGTAAAGTCACATTGGAAAAATATTTGACTCAAGTAGCAGCATGGAAAAAATTACAGGCTAATAGATGGTAGGCACATTTTGTTCATCCCACCATAAATGAAAAGGAGTGGTGCTATTAGTGGGTGCCATTTGTTGAGCACTGATGATGCCTTGCACTGAGTGTACCAGTTAGCATACATCTCATTTACTCCTCAAATCAACCCTGAAATTTATTACTCCCTTTTGATAGATGAGAAAACAGGCTTAGAAAGATTTAAGTGACCGTCCTAAGATTACATAGCTGATACAGAGCTAAGATTTGAATCTAGATCTATCTGATAGAAGCCCTGGCTACCAACCACTGTGTTGTCTGCTTTGGAGACACTGGCTTGGGGTTAAAAAGACTGCCAAGAGTAGGTGACTTTTGAGCATGGATCTTTGTGCCTAATTTCCAGAAGGATGTGTTCAGGAAAAGGTGCTCCAGCCAGTGGCTTTCTTCTTATGGGCTGGCCATTACCAGTATACAACTCTGTTACTGAGTAAAGCAAATGCTTCTGAGGTTTGTATTTCTTCCCATTCTTAAGGCCTGTAAAAGGATATATTGAGGGGGAATCCCTCATGGCCCAGAAGAAAGTATGTTTTGTTCCCTCAAAGCAGAGGAGAAGCCTGGGAAGCAAGAGATAAAGTATGGTTCTTGAATCTAAAATTTGTCAAAAGTAAAAGCATGATCCAAGATTGTGATTTAAGTTAGAACAAATCCTTATAACAACTTGGAATGGTTCTGCAACTTCTCCATAGCCTTCTTTGATCTTCTTGCCCATGTTTCATTCCTGCTAGGTTAGGAGCACCTCTCAGCTGCTGAGCCGATCACTGTCTGCAGGGGTGTTGAAACGACCAGAGACACTGACAGATGAGGTACCTCATAGGTGGAATTGGGCCTGTGGTTTGGGGCCCAGATGAGGAGGGTTGCCTGGCAGCCCCGATAGGGGGAGTGCTGAGAACAGTCATCAAGACTAAAATGAGTGAAGGATCCAGACCGTTTGCTCTAGGTGAAGATGAGGATGGCTGATGATATATATATGCTCTGGTGTTGCAGCTTTTGCCACTGGCAGCTCGCGCCCATGTATGCTGCTGATAGCTGCATTACTTGACCTAGTTGACTGATTTCCTTGGGAGTGTTTTAGTTCCAGGTAGATGATCTCAGGGTACTGAGAACAGGCTAGGGCTTCAGTATTGAATTTCTAGACCATACCTGAATCTTGAATGTATTGGATGTCCACCTCTTGCATTAAAAAATTCAGCTTAGCAGCATTTTAGGGGGTTTTCCAGAAAGTTAAAAGATTCTGTTTGGAGAGAAACCATGGGATTTGATAGCAAAGGGGGTTTTAAGTGGTATGAAAGTTTCCAAAGTGAAAAGGAATTTCCTAAAAACTTAACCTTCTACATGCCTCTTCTTCACAGAGCCTCAACAACTTGGCAGCCCCACTTCCTCTGACCTCATTTATTCCTAGCCACAGCTTCCAAACCAGTGCCATTTCAAGGGACATTGACACAGCAGCCAAGTTCATCGGGGCTGGGGCTGCTACAGTAGGGGTGGCTGGCTCTGGGGCTGGAATTGGGACTGTGTTTGGAAGCCTCATCATTGGTTATGCCAGGTAAGATGGGCCCTCCATTAGCTTTGACCTTTGGTATGCTTCCAAAGGTCTGAGCAGAAATATTTGGGGATCTTTAATTATATTATTCTGTAGAGTTGCTGCTAGCCCATGTAGCTATTTGAATTTAAATCTTAATTAATGAAAATACACAAAGTTTATTGTGTATTTTATTGTATGTACCTCAGTTTTAAAAATGAAACAATTTTTTAAGTACACAAAATTTAAATTGTATTCTTTTAATGTGGCTGGGTAGCCAGCCGCATGTGACTAGTGGCTGCCATATTGGAAAGTTCTATGCAATAGCTCTGATTTAGAGTAGGAGTCAGAAAACTAAGGTGGGAGGGCCATATCTGGGCCACAGCCTTGTTTTGTATAGCTGAGCTAAGAATGAGTTTTACATGTATAAAGCGTTGTGGGGAGAAAAAATAAAAATGCAACAGAGACCATATGTGACCCACAAAGCCTAAAATACTTACTATCTGGTCCTTTATGGAAAAAGTTTATTACCTCTGGTGCAGAGCCTCAGTCAGCATAACGGGTTCACTGCTGTTTTTCCTTATCCCCAGGAATTCCCCTATTACTTCTGGGAAAACTGCCTCTGCAACCAGCACCACAGCTCCTTTACACTTGGGACTATTTGGTCCCTATCAACTTTAGGCCACTCACTGTTGGAACTAAATTAATCATCGAGAGACCCAAAAGTTTTCTTAATGTCTTTGGGGAAGTAATTTATTTTTTAAGATTTGAATGAAACAAGAATCTGTGTCCACAGCACTGTTAAAAAAAAAAAAAAAAGTAAGGGAAACAAAAAAATGATACATTGGCTTTCAAAGTTAGGAGTCCTTTATTCCATTTTGATTCACTTCTAAACTCCATAGACCACTTGTAGCTTCTTAAAGCCCAAAATCTCTTAACTACTTTGAAATGAAAGATGGTAATCTTTCTCTCTTCCTCCCTTGTCCTCTAGAATGGTGTTTTTCTAAGTGTGTTCCATAAAGCCCAGGGGTTCTGAGGGTATGCCCCTGAGACAGTCTTACAGAATGGAAGGGAGACCAGTCAGACAAGCCTTTAAAATCCCCCACTTTTTTACCATTGCAGTTTTAAGCTTTTATACACTTTGTATTTTGGGGCTCTGCTGTTTAGTTTGAAAACACTGTTCTGATAGATCCTGCCACTCCAACTGCCTCTTCCATCCTGTTTGGGCCCTGGATAGTTGTGTCCTGCCTAGAGGTTAAGTTATGATGACTATATGGGTGATCCACTAGAGGGGGTGTTTTGGCCATGGCCATGTTACAGAATTTTGGATTGTCCACTCTGCCACATTTCTTTGTACCAGGATAAAAATTTGGGCATGATGCTGTCACCTTGAGAGATTCAAGTAAGATGAGCTTGAGGAGATGAATTCTCCCTGAGCCCATCTTTGATGTTTGTTCTTTTCTTTGTGTGGACTAGAAATTCAGTCTTTTCTCCTCCCTTCTCCCAGGAACCCTTCTCTGAAGCAACAGCTCTTCTCCTACGCCATTCTGGGCTTTGCCCTCTCGGAGGCCATGGGGCTCTTTTGCCTGATGGTGGCCTTTCTCATCCTCTTCGCCATGTGAAGGAGCCGTCTCCAACTTCCATAGGTCTTCCATGTCTCATCGACCCTGTGTGTTCCTTTTCCTATACCTTCCCAGGCAGCCTGGGGAAAGTGGTTGGCTCAGGGTTTGACAGAGGGAAGACAAATAAATACTGTATTAATAAGATCTTTCTTGAGTCTCCTGTGTATATTTGTTTTTCACAGTTGGCCGAGTGCCTTGGTGAAAGTGTAAGGCCTAGAGGGTGGTGACAGTTATAAACTCAACATAGGTATGGGCTTACTTGCTCTTCATTCTCTGTCAGGAATGCTTTCTTCAAGTTGGCCCTTCTTTTTAATAATTTTCACCTGAGATGGCTTGTTATGTACCTTGGAGGACTGGGCCAGTAGCTGTTTACAGTACTGGCTTAATGTTTTGATTAATGGACTCTGTTTCCACTGTCACTGTCTTGGCTCAGGCCCTCATTGCCACCCACCTAGTCTATTGCAATAACCTCGTAGCTGGCCTTCTGCCTCCAGTTTCTTCCCTCTAGCATTTGCTTCTGTCCACTACTGCCATGTTAATCCTTAAGTATAGGACTGCTTTTGTCACCAATTCAAAACAATCTGACCTCAACTTTCTCAGCTTTACCTTTTATTATTCTCATGCATTCTATCCAAAGTGGATGACTTGTCATTTTTCAAGTGCTTTCCCTCTTTCCTGTCCTTACCATATCTTTAGGCCATGCCGTTTGGCCATCTCTGCTTGTTTTCCCTGAATCTTTGCTCTTTTTCAAGTTGTCCCTATTATCCTTAAAGCCTTAGCTTAAATGCTACCTCTTCCTCCATGAAGCTTTTGTCTGATTTCCATCCACCAAGTTAACTCATATAAAGGGCTGTAGAGCACATTGTATCCTTTATAATGCTTACAATCTATTATAAATTGTGGATTTGTGTGCATGTATGTGTGCCTTATCTTCCAAGTTAGATTGTTCTTGAGGCAGGGAGTATGTGGTGGTCATTTTTGTGACCCTGGAAGTATCTAGCATGATAGATCTTGGCAATACCTTAGTCAAATTTTTTATTTAATCTTCTAAACAAACCACATCACTTCACAAGTGAGGAAACAGATTTGAGCAGTCAGAAGGTTCTCTAAGGAACATTGACTGGCAGAGCTAGAGCAAGGATCATGTCTTGTAGCCCAGGGTGTAAGACGTCCATACTATTGGTCTTAGACTCCTCCCCAAGCCCTCCCTGTATTGCTGGTGACATTTTCCCAAGCAAGAAGGAAAGGGCAAAATAAGCAAAGGTAAACATTTTCTCTTAAAGATGGCTCAGGAGTGACTTGGGACAGTGGGGTTAGTATAAAAGTTAGGAATTACTTAGGTTCTCTACAGACTAGATAAGCTTTAAAGAAGCTGTGTCAAGAAGGGACATAGTGGATCTCTGGCAACTTGCTGCACTGATGGACAGACTGCATTGGGGTATGGGTGGGGACTTGATAATATGGGTAAATGTAGTAACCACATTGTTCTTTCACGTGAAACCTTCATAAGAGTGTATATCAATCATATCTTTAATAAATAAGTAAAATAAAGAAGCTGTATCTTCTGATGGACAGTGACTGCAGTGGGGTATGGGGGCACTCGACAATGAGGGTGAATGTAATAACCATGTCATTTTTCTTGTGAACTCTTCATAAGTATATCAATGATACCTTAATAAAAAAAAGTGTTGTAACATGCTTGAAATACTGGATGTAAGTCAGTAACTTAAAGTCCTTTCATGATAATGACCATAGCAGTTTTGGTTTAATCAATGACTATAAAATTAAAGCCAAGCTTGAGACTTGACCCCAGAGTAAATGGATGGCTCAGGAAGCAGATCACCCCAAGTCATTCGTCCTTGCCCTTTTTGCTCTTACGTTCAAGGGTTAAGAGGGATCCTATCCACAATTCACTAACATTTCTATATCCCCACAGCTGTAATATGGGCTGTGGTGCTCTTATGTGGACCTCAAGAATAGCTTCTCCAGCCAAGAGTCAGTAAAAGGTATATAAATGGAGATGAGGAATAGCCCTCCTTTTGTTTCAGTTATTTGAATTTGAACCTCTGATAGGAGACCCTGCTGCCCATCCCCTTCTCAAGTCATCAGGTTTCTTAATGTTTTCTTTCTCTCCAAGGCCCTCTCTTTGGGCATGACTCTAGCCAGCCCCTTAACAACTTAGGTGCTTGAAGAGAGCATGGCTTAGGGCCACGTGTTTGTGTTTTCTCTAAGGTAAATGATGAGATGGCGTGGCAAGGAGCTTGCAAGCAAATTTCTTAAGGAGTCAAGGCAACCTGGGTCCTCTTAGTTTAAGGTCCCAAGAGAGATTTATTGGCAACCCAAGTTGCCAACAGCTTAGGACAGAAGAGTGCTATGATTTCATAGAAGGAATCCAACAGCAAATTTTTCTGAAGATGTTTCCAGCTTTGATAAGATTATGGAATGAAAGCTTTCTATTTGTCTTTATAGTTTAAGAAAGAGCATATAATTTGAATTAGGTGATGTTAGTGCCAATCTCTGTTACCACCAGCCACTGTGATGTTGGGCAGATCACTAACTAATGACTTTCTACAACCTCAAGTTTCTCCTCATCTACTAAATAGGGATAAAAATTATCATCCCAGGAATTAATCTGTGTGCTCACAGAGGTACCCTAAGTATTTGGGAAGGATGGTGCCATCAAAGTTCAATGTATATTGATTATAATTTATTTTCTCATTCTCCATATAGCTCAGAGCATGTTATAAGCAGGACAGTGTCCTTTTTTGTGGTTGGAATAGAAAAGGGAACTGACCACCCAAAATATATAAAGTAAGGTCATAAGCATCTGGAGAGAGAATCTGGGGATGCTGAAGGCAGTAAGGCTTGCTTCTCTCTTCTTAGTTTCTTCAGAACAGGGGAGGAGTGCCATCCTAATTAGAAGAAAATAATGTCCCTTGAAAATCATCTAAATGCTAAACAGCAGTTATGAGAAACCTTGTTCCAGCCTCTCAGGATGGTTTTATTAGTTTGAGGCCTTCTTAGGATCAGGTTGAGAAAGCTGCTCAGGACTAACACTGGTGATTTAGCTTAAGTTGATGTCCAGCTTAAGCTGCTCTATGTCTTACCTCCTCCACTCAAGAGAAATGAGATGAAGAATATCTAAGTTGAATTCTGAAATAGAGAAAGGAAGAGGAGTAGTATCACATTGGTGAGTAAAGAATATTGTCCTAGTACTCCAAGTTTTGAGCAATGAAACTCTCTTTATTGAACCATATTTAAATATGCCGTGCATTTTCCAACATGTATTCTTACGACACACTCTTAGATAGCTTGGTGTTCCTATCCATTTGATGAGGAAAACAAACGAGAAGATTTTTCAGTCCCCAGATATTCCTTAAAATGCCTTTATTTATTTATTTATTTATTTATTTATTTATTTATTTATTTATTTATTTATATTAAGGTATCATTGATATACAATCTTATGAAGGTTTCACAAGAAAAATGATGTGGTTACTACATTCACCCATATTATCAAGTCCCCCCTTATACCCAATTGCAGTCACTGTCCATCAGTGTAGTAAGATGCCACAGAGTCCCTACTTGTCTTCTCTGTGCTACATTGTCTTCCCCGTGACCCCACACACCATGTGCACTAATCATGATACCCCTCAATCCCCTTCTCCCTCCCTCCCCACCTGCCCTCCCTCACCCCTCCCCTTTGGCAACCACTAGTCCCTTCTTAGAGTCTGTTAGTCAACTCCTCTTTTCTTCCTTCAGTTTTAAAATGACTTTATTTTTTAGCCTTTATCTCATGGTATAGGCACATTTTGATCAAAGTAACCACTTCAGAAATGGCAAAATACATGATGGATAAAATACAAGGTCAGGCCTCTCTCAACTGCTTAGCTTCTCTTATTAGTATAAATGGTTAGAGATTATTTCCACTTCCTTCCTATTGATACCCCAAAACAGATCATTTTGTCATTTGAATAAGTGCTATGGTAGGCAGAACTTTTGACATGACCCCCTGAAATATGCCCTGATCTAATCTGCAAAACCTGTGATTTTGGTGATATATCATGTCCATGGTTATATTACGTGGCACAGTTGACTAAGATAGGGAGATACGTAAGTGAGCCTGATCTAATCACATGAGCCTTTAAAACCAAAGCGTGTCCTCAGACTGGTGGCAGAAGGAAAAATCAGATTCGAAGGAAGGTTTCGATTGCACCATTGCTGGCTTTGAAGATGGGGGAGACCATATTCAAGGACTAGAAAGTGGCCTCTAAGAGCTAAAATTGACCCCCTAACAAGCACCCAGCAAGGAACTGAACTGAGCCTGAATGAGCTCAAAAAAATGAAATCTTCCTCAAAGCTCTAGACAAGAGCCCAGTCCAAGTCAACACCTTCCTTGACTTTGGCTTTGTGAGGCCCTAAGCAGAGAACATAATTAAGCCTTCCTGGATTTATGATCTACAGAACAGTAATGGTCTTCAGAATAAATGGATGTTGTTTTAACCACTAAATTTGTGATAATTTGCTCTATAGTCAGAAAGCTAATAGAAGTGCAGTCTTCCAGTCTGCGGTTTCATCTGAATTGTGCACTAAAAGGAAACCAAAAGTTGACTTATCTAACCCTCTGTCTACTAACATTGAATCTAATCTAGCTCCGGAAAGCTAAAGAAGGAAGGGCCTTTAAACAAAAATTGTATGCCACACTCTTTTAAATGATAGCTTTTTTCTCATTTTAACAGATGAGAAGGCAGACTCATATTCAAGAACCATTACTTAGTCCTGGAGTTTATTGAGGCAGAAAGCAATAGAATAGAAACCCATGGCCAAAGCTTCTTGCATTATACCATACCACAGGGCATGGGGACTGGGATATCACTGGAGGAGAGGGCAAAACAAACCTAGACAGTTTTTTAGATTACTCAGAGAAGGTGATTGATCTGTGTTTCTTATAATTACATCCCTGTTGTTACAGGTAGCATTTTGCCTTCCTCTACTGCTCATTTCCTGGGTTTCTGGGTAGGCTCAGTTTAGTTGGCTCAGCTCTGCCCGCAAGTTGGATATTTTTAACCATTATGGATTAGAACCTTCCAGAAACTGTGGAGTGGCTTTTACAGAAAGCAACTCTGTAGAATCTCAGGGCAGGTGTT